CGCCGCCGCTAGGGGGAGTGCGGCGCGCGGCCGCAGTGCGTCGTGGCGCCGGGAGGCGCGCGGAGCTGCAGAGCCGTCAGCTGCGAGACAGTTCCCTCAGGCGAGAGGAGCTCGGTGCCCAGCACAGGGTGCTCCAAAGAACACGGCAGGGCTTGACTGTGCACGGGAAGCTCCATAAGAGAAGAGTAACATTTGCCAGTGGCATCTAGGGCGTGGGGACTGGGGGCAAAGCACGGAGGGAGCGACTCCCTGAACACCTTTTGCATGTTGTACGGTGCATGCGAATACAGGATTAAAAGAAAGAAAAGGCTTGCTGTAACGAATGCAGTACTCAGGGAAACAAACCCGAGGTGTCTGGCAGTCTCGGGACTGTTCCTTGAGCATCGGAGGGCGCTAACTGCGGCTCTGCCTTGCCCGCAATCCGTCTCAACCCGATGAGGACTGGATGTGAAATCAGAATTGGGTCGAGTGTGTCGAGCGTTGAAGTGCTTGATACAGAGCGGGATGGAGGCGCGGGCGGGGGCGCTTGTGGTCACCGGTGGTGACTGGGGAGGGTCGACTAAAGGAGTTGGCCCACCAGCTCAGTCCCAGGGCGAGACAAGAGAGAACAGCGAACAACTCCGGGCCCGGAGACACCTAAAACCAAGGCGTGGGTCGCAGCGCCACTGTTTAGGGGTACATTAAAAGCCAGGCTGCAGGGGCTCTCCCGCTGAAGAGAATGTTCCGGCCCTGCACAGCAGGGGGCAGCCAATGATGTCAATGAGCTCTCGCTTTCATATTCTCCTAATTGAGACATATGCTTTTAAATTTATTCTGAAATCTAACTTTGGTGGACATATCTTTGCTGACCTTGCCTTTGTATTATGAGGCAGCTCATTCTGCTCTGGAGTTACATTAACGTTTGTTTTTACTTAAGTGGAGATAATATTGATTTACACCACTACATGATTTAGGGGAATAGGTTCATAGCTCAGATGTCACACCACTCCCACCATCAAAGTACCCATCGTCCTTTTTTACTCCTAGGCTACTTGTCCCCTTCTCTCCTGAACTCCTATCAGTCTCCCACTTCCTCTAGTAGTCTCATACCTGCAGTTACTATTTCTAGGGTTTGTTTTCGCTTAGTTTTGTCTCCCTTTTTTTTTTTTTTTTTCCTGGAGTTACATTAACCCGTGCTTTTTACTGGGAGGAGGTATTATTAAGATCTGCATTTTAGGATGCTGAATGCCATAGAATAAATGAGGCATCTTTCTGGAGCATACTTTTTACACTAAGATTTGTGTGTGTGTGTGGGGGGGGTGTTGCAGGGAAATCAATCTCACATTAAAATGAAAACTGTGGGCCCCCACTGGTGGCACAAGTGGCGAAGCTGTCTGTAGCCACTGCAGCATGAGTTAGATCCTTGGCCAGGAAGGTGACCCACATGGCGCAGCAGACCTCTCCTGGCTGCCCCCTGCCTGCTCCCCAGCATTGTATTTCAGTACATCTGCCTGTTCTCCCCATTCTGTCTCTCACCCTCTGGACCTCTGGCCTTTAGCCCAGTTCTTGTGTGCATAAATAAATCTTTTAAAAAAATAAAATGAGCTCCCCCCCCACCCTGTGGTGAACCGGGTTAAAGCACAGCACTGCAAGCCAGCTTCAGTGTGACTCCCCACCTCTTCCCCCCAGGTGACCTACATGTCATAGCAGACCTCTCCTGTCTAGCCAGCAGCTACCCTGAGCAACACACTTTATCAATCTGCCTGTTCTGCTCCCCACTCTTCCTCTGGTGAATCCTCTCACTGCCCCTGCACCTCTGGCCTGTACCCAAGCTCTGTATGCATAAATAAATCTTTTTAAAGAATGAAGTAAAAATGGCATATTGGAGTATATATGAAGCCATTAAATATATTTGAGTTTTTAGAGACGGCAAGGACTCTATCCCAGATCTGATGGTATAGGTTTCTTGCCCCCTCTACATGTCAAAGATTTGGATGGTCTTAGATCTTTCACTCATCTACCCTGAGTTCTATTGTGGAATATCATTTATAACCTTTTATCACTTTCCATGATGCTCAGGTGAGGCCTGATCACCAGTGTCTGTGGAGGCAATTATTTTCCTTCCACTAATCATTACCCTTTCAGTCCTTTGTCCATATTGATGCCATCACTCTTATTGAAATGTGAATCTAATTATATCATTCTTCTAAAAACATTAAACTCACCACATAAAGCATAATTCCTGCCATATATCTCAACCCCAGTTCTATTTCAAAACATCAGCAACCTTCACCAACTTCCAGAACCCCTGGCACGCTTGTCATACTGTGAGCACCTCATACTCCCCGTCCTTTACATACCCGTCATCTACGGTCATGGAGACTCTTCCTCTAAGAATTGGTTCTAGTACCATCCCATCTCTTCTGGGAAGTTGCCCTAATTTCCCCCTCCCTCATGTGTTTGCTGGCCATGACCACCTGTGCATATCTTTCCTAGAGGTGAGCCCTAGAGGATGGTCAATGCCTGTGGTCACTGCTGAAATGTGTGCTTGTACAATGCACTTTACTAGCTGAGGTTAAAATACTTTGAAGTTTCTTTCTAGGAACAACAAAAAGCCCTGAAACATATGCCTTCATGTGTTAACAAAACTAACAATCTCTAACTCAAATGCACACATGAGAAGTTCTACGATTTCATCATGTATCAATTTTACTAGCTTCTATTTAATGTAGCCTAGGATAGAGGATAAGTGACACAGAATTTTAAAATTTTATTTTCTGTGTGTCAACATTTTTATCAATATACACTTTAATCTGGTAAGGCC